GGGAGAGGAGTAGGTAAGAGGACGAGGGGGAGAGCCGCGCTGATGAGGTGAAGAGAAGCGCTCCGGAGCGATGACGGCGAGGAGCAAGGAGGATGAGGAGAGGAGAGGAGGAGGGGGGGGAGAGAAACCAGCTGCCGGAGGGAGAGGGAGAGGAGAGGGAGGAGAGTAGAAGAGGAGAGGAGAGGAGAGGAGAGGAGAGGAGAGGAGAGGAGAGGAGAGGAGAGGAGAGGAGAGACAAGATGAGAGGAGAGGAGAGGAGAGGAGGGAGAGGAGAGGAGAGGAGAGGAGAGGAGATGAGGAGGAGGAGAGGAGAAGGAGAGGGAGAGGAGAGGAGAGGAGAGGAGAGGAGAGGAGAGGAGGAGAGTAGTAAGAGGAGAGAGAGGAGAGGGGAGGAGAGGAAAGGAGAAAGAGAAGAGAGGAGAAAGAGGAGAGAGCCTGTTGAAGAAGCCTAGTGCCTCCAACCCCTAGGAACTAATGTAAGGAGCAGAGCTCAAACCTGGATCCATGGCTCCCTCTGTGTCTGACTCACAGTATTGCAGACACTAATACCATTTTAGAGCTCATGATTTGTTAAGACACCAGTGCCACCACCAAGTTGGTAGCCTGGCGTGCCAGGCTAGTAGGCTCTGTCATCAGACACACAGCTGTTAGCGAAGACTAACAAGGCAGTGCTCCATGGTAATTGAACCAACATGGATTTGTACAACTTAAACAGCTTTCCACCCACTATTACAAAGACAGGCAGACGTATACTACCGCCTGCTTATGGATGTTGAATTAGGAACTGTGGAGGGCATTATTTCCATGAGGTCACATTTCACAGTTTCAACCGCATGTAAGCCAAGGCTGAAACCCTAAAGTAAAGACCATAAAAATCACAGCTTATCTCTCTATGTCAACAGACCCAGGGAAGCCAGCAGAATGTATTTGCATTAAAGAGCCTATCTCACAATGAAAGAGCACCCAACTACTTTCTTGTGTTGTTGCTCTTCCTCAATGCCTACGCAGAAACCTGGATATGTTTAGCCAGATCAGATACCCTGTGCAGTTTGACGCCCGCAAAAGAGCGTTTACAACGTGAGGCATCAGTGCCTGTGATCTGTGTCCTCCCCTTCAGCAGGCCAACTTATCCAGCATTGTTATCAATTGGAGCCCAGCTGCAGCCCGCCTCATTCATTCCAGCTAGAGTGCGGATGGGTCACGTTATTGGAGTGACGCTGCAATGGGATGCAGGGTTTAGTCTGTAGAGCCCCTGAACATACACTATGGGAGACAATCAGCACATTGAGGCGGCTCTCAGCCCCGGTGTGCCGCTGAATGGGAGACAGGTGGCATTGTTTTCACACCGCGCTGGCTGGCTCATCCCTCCACAGCGAACAGGCTTCTTCTCAAGTTATGAGGGAGAATGTCTTCCCCTCATTATGGACCTTGACAAGGCTGGGGGCCATGTTTGAATATGCACCACAACACATTATTTTCTCACTGTCTAATATTCACATAGCCTGGCTTGCTATTATGCAGATAGACTAGGGTGAGCAAATGGACATCTTGCAAATAGGACATTCATATCTATGAAGTGGAGGAAGCCAGAGGAGTAACATACAAAGACAATATTGGAATAGCCGCAGAAATTAATCAACCTTGGCTCTCTTTTATGGTGATTATGATTGATATGAAATCTCCACTAAGAGCCATAAGTCTAAGATTATAATTTAGTGAAATTCAAAGATATTTATTTATAACATTTAATTGTTCTGCCATAGAAGATTATGAAATCCTACTCCTAGCTTCAGTGGTATAAAACTCCTCTCTAAGGAGCTGTTAAGGTTTCCTCCAGTGCATTTCCTATATGCACACATAAATATGGTATCTTTTCAGTGAAAAAAATGAGGGTTTATCAAATCATTGACACATGGACACACTGAGATGGACACAGCAAATAGGTTTGACATATTTCTAAATGCTTCTCTTTTTCTAAGCCAACTTACACCATCCTGTGGAGCCAGAACAGAGGAGGGCCAAATTCACACCATAAATTGAAACATATAATGCTGTCAAAGCAAAAATAAAAGGCCATCCAAACTTGTCCAGTGGCCAGTAGCTCACATAGGGCACTGTCATTTAGGTGTTGGCTGCATTCTACACCAAATGAATTCAAATATTTGTGGAAAAGTCCAATATTCATAGTAGAATATGAGATGGAGTGCATTTCTAAAGTGAAAATTTGCCCAACATCTACATTCAGTAGGCTAATCAAACCCACAAATCAGGCCCTGACCACAGTAAAAGACAGGTTTGAAATTCTCACAGGAAAATCATAACCTCTCAGATATTACAAGTCAGACAACAAAACATGATGTATGAATATAACCCAGTGGAGATTTAATTACATAATTAGACAGCGTACAGGCAGTATCATCTGAATCAGGAGCCACAAGGCAAGAACAGCTAAACAGACACAATGAAACCAGTAAGGAGCTTTAGCGCCACCATGTGGATAGAAATGCCAATTGCCTCTCGATTTTCCACCCATTCATTCATAACATTTTACATTTTAGTCATTTAGCAGAGGCTCTTATCCAGAGCGACTTACAGTTAGTGAGTGCATACATATTCATAAGTGTATAATGATAATTATGTGGTCCTCTGTAGCTCAGCTGGTAGAGCACAGCGCTTGTAACGCCAAGGTAGTGGGTTCGATCCCCGGGACCACCCATTCACAAAAAAAAAAAAAAAAAAAAAAAAAGTATGCAAGCATGACTGTAAGTCGCTTTGGATAAAAGCATCTGCTAAATGGCATATTATATTTATAATAATTTGGAGTTTACTCTGAATTAGCATCCCTGAGAACAAGCTATAAAAAACTCAATAAGTTGACCGTTTACACACACAGCAAAGAGAGTGGGAAAAACATTTCAGACACCCAGCGCTGTGTGTGTCTTTTGTCTGGACAGAAGGGTTTCTAATGAGTTCCAGATGCATTTGGTAGGGCTCCCTCACTCCCTGCAACTGAAATGTCTCTCATGGGAGTGCAGAGACTGAAATAACACACAGACACAGTGACAGTCTGGGGAGATCTTGTACATTAAAAGTTTTGTAGGTTTTTACAACCAAAAAAGAACAATAGTGAATTGACAAATCGAAAATACTAGTCGTGTATGATGTACAAGTATGTGATTATAGTGATATCTTGTTGATATTTAATATCCTTAATGAACAATTTGAATCTATGGAAGAAAGTGGAAAGATAATTCTTACATTAGTATGGTATAAGAACGTCTTAAATCTTCATGGAACTACCAGTACAACGCATTCCATAATATATCATGCATAGATGAGATACATGTACTGTATGTGTACTGACATAAAACCCACAAAGTAATCTCCATTACGTTTAACATGAAAACACTTTATTCATCATGTCATATTTCATTTCATTGAAAACAAATAGATAAGAAGGAACCATTACAGTTTGAAACTCCTATCACTTCCTACATGAAGCTGTAACTTTCACTTGAACCAGGACTGATATTGAATGGCTTATAGATATATCCATCTGGTTTCTTTCCCTAACTTAAATCATGAGATTATTATCATAACATTCTATTCAACATTTAAATAAGAAACACAAAAATCACAAGTCTACATTAGTTTCCTGCTACTGAGATGGGTGGTTTAATGTAATGTGTTGTAGCATACTAGCATGCACTGTGACTAGGCAAAATGAAAAAATAGCTTAACTGGACATCAACATCACTGAGGAGAACTGAAATCTCATTGACTGTGTAACTCGATAACAAAGGTCTATTCTAAAAGCTTTGCATTGCGCATCACATTGGTCATCCCTTCATTATGTGCTCGTATAGAATACAGAACCGTCTACTATTAGAAAGTGCATGAAACATTTCAGAGTTAATAGGCCTAACCCTTGAAGAGATACAGTAATAACAATAATATTAGTCTTAATATTAGTCTCTTTTCAAATCTGGGAAAAAGGGGTACAATGTTTTATTACAGTCATAACAATAGGATAGATTTGGATAGATGAGCATTTACATGGCACTTCAATTACACTATCGAACAGGTACCTTATGTTATTGGTTCTGAATAAATACACAAAGGCATAAATAAATAAATAAATAAATACAGCAAGCACTCATTTGATTTTCCTCAAACACACACACACAGTTAGCTGTGGGTGTCCCAGCCAACATAATTTGAGCACAATTCCTTTGTCTGCCAAATGTCCGAATTCAATGAAATTAGGTGTTTCATCTGATCTGAGAATTCTCTTTCATTCAGGAAAATGAGACCTATAATGTATATTTGCTTCTCACAGTTGACATCAGTCATACTCAAACACATCAAACACAGCATCAAAGGTGAACACTGGTAGCTATTGTCTCCTGCAGCGTTCACAAGATACCTTTCAAAGCATTTTGAACATCTCAATTGCTTTTCTCTCTCTGCAAGTCACCAATTAATTCCAGTATGTAAGAGCATGAGGAAAACAGTTATTCACCTTCAATTTCAATCCCTTGTGTGTGTCCTTTCTCTTTTCCCCTTGTACATCAAAAGCTTGAAAAGCTTTCAGCACTCATTCACATGTTCTCCTTGACTCTCTCACAGACAGATCTAAGTAGTTACATTTAATAGTTAAACTGTCCATTAAATAAGCCTTAAGCAATTGCATTGTCAAGTATAAAATGATAGGTACAAGAAGGTGGTGACAACTTGATCTCCAAGCTCTTAGTGTCGTTTAACAATGGACAGTATGAATCTAGCAAATCTGTATTCTGCACAGACAAGCACAACAGGCTAACATCTGATGGGCAGACTCGTTAGAGAAAGATGGGACAAACCTGTTGTGAAGGGATGGTGCCATGCATGTATAAAAACTATTGTGTTTGTGTTGGTGTGTTTCTGTTCTCCCTCTTTTACTGAGGGAGGTTTTATGAAATGGTTACCCCAGAAAGCAGTGATCCACTCCCATTGGTCCCCTAGAGAGATGTCTTGTTGATGTCAACCTTCACTGGCAGTGGTCCCGCCTCCTCGCTCTCCTCTGGTTGGTCGATGGCTACAGCAATCACAGGGGTCAGATGGTAGGGGTTGACCTTCTGGACGTCATCCAGAAACTCCTTGTCTCCGTTGATGCTCAGCTGCAAAAAGGAATCCGTTATTCATTCAAATCGATAGAAATGTTCCCATTGTCTCTAGGAGTAATTCCCTCTCATGCAAACACATGTTAACTAAGATAACACTTGAGTGAGTTAACAATTAAAGATGAGGTCCGGGACCTTAAGCACTAACATATCATACAAATTGCTCTTTTTTTTGCAAGACATAACATATCATACGAAATGGATGATGTAGTACAGGCTGGCCTGCCTCCATCCTCATCAACGGGGCCGACCGTGGAGACGGTCAATAACTTCAAATTCCTCGGTGTACACATCACAGAGAAGCTGAAATGGTCTAACCACATGGACACCGTGGTGACGAAGGCACGATAGCGACTCTACAACCTCAGGATGCTAAAGAAATTAGTCCTGTCCCTGAGGGCCCTCACAGTGTTATATCACAGTGTTCTACAGGAGCACCATTGATAGCATACTGTCGGGCTGCATCACAGCCTGGTATGGCAACTCCATCGCTGCGGACGCAAGGCGCTTCAGAGGGTGATATGTGCAGTCGAACGCAGCATTGGGTGCACACTGCCTGCCCTACGGGACACATACAACACCAGGTGTCGCAGGAAGGCCAAGAAGATCATCAGGGACCCCAGCCATCCAAGCCATGCCCTGTTCTCCACGCTTCAATCACTCAGACGCGGGCAGGAAAGGAGCATCATGGCAAAACCCTCAGACCATCAGGCTGCAGAATAGCCACCACTAGTCAGCTACCTACTCCCCCCTCCCCCTGCTACTCCACTTATGGACCCCCCCCCCCATTCCCCCTATGGACATTTCCCCCCCAAACCCACTCAACAGTCACTTACCTTACCTGCTGCTCCCCCTAGGGACATTTTCCCTGCACCCCCCAACTGACTTTTATTCTGCCCCCACCCCAATGACATTCATCACTGTTACAGTTGTTAATATGTATATTATTTTGTATAATAATTTGTATAGTTTTCATTTCACTTGGTCCCCAAACCCCCTCAATGGTCATGCTGCTCCCCCTATGTTTAACCCCCACACCCCCTCAACAGTCTTTACTCTGCCTCCACCCCAATGGACATTTATTTATTCATCACTGCTACAGTTATGATGTATGTAGTGCTATTTCTTTAGTTTCATTATTTTATTTGACTTAGTCCTGCATGTTGGAGCTCGGAGCCCAAGATTTTCACTGTACCCTGCAATCACACCTGCAACCCTGTACATGTGACTATTAAACACTCAATCTGAATATGAATCAATTGTGCAGAATTTTCGGGGACCCGTTTTGGCTCATGAGCACTACTTTCAAAACTACAAAAGCTCTGGAGCATCACTTTAATCTAACAAAGTGAGAATGAAGTACTGTAACATTGACAGTTAGCTGTTTTTAATCTAAAAGACAGAGATTGCCAATTATGACTCACATTCCTGTTGCTGTTCTGGTGCTGTGTTTACCTGTGTTTTGATGTGCTGTTCTGGTGCAGTGACAAGGCTGGCACAGCTCAGCCACAACATCACCATGATGGACAGGAAGAGACAGGCAGCCAGGATCCAACGAGGCAGCCCAGAGCGCCTGAGAGAAAGGGGAGGGTTAGGTGATGATACAGGTAATACAACTCAGAGGGCCCAAATGGGTTGATTTGGGCAGATGACTGTTCTTGTACAATATCTCTTCACCTTGACATGCATCCCAGGAAGTCATGCTCAGCGGTTGGGTCTTCCGTATGTTGCTGGACTGCTGGGTGCTTGCCCTTGCCTCCTGCCTTGGCTGCTCCCTTCTCCCCATGTCCTTTCACACCTACACAGAGGTGAACACTAATGAGCAATTGAACTTGAGAGGAAGTGTAATCTAATTTCACCCCTCTGGAGATCAATAAAGCATAATCAATTCAATGTAATCCTCCTTTAATGCATTGTATACTATTTACAGATAATTTGAACACCGCAAATTGACCACAAGAAGCACAAACGGATATAGTATTTGACAAAAACGTATTCATTTCAAACCTTGATTACATTGGGATATGATCACATATGTCTATCTATTATGTGTGGGAATACTTGAGAACAGATCTCCAAAATTAAAATCACTTGGAGCTGATTTCCTGGTGTTTTGACAGTCTTTTATGTCCAACAATGAAGTGTTTTGTTTTTGCAAATAAAACAAATAAATTCACCCGCGGGCCAAATTCGGCCCGCAGGCCGCCAGTTGGGGAACCCTGTCCTACAGGTCTTATGATGTTTTGTACATTATGGGTCTCAGTGTGTGACAGAGCTGCATGCCACCATGGGGTCTCACCATGGGGTCTCTGTGTGTGGGAGTGGATCTGTGGCCAGGGCTTGTCTGCCACATTGGAGCGGGGAGCCTGCATCTCCGGCAGAGTGTACTCGATCTCCGGCTGGCTCTGGGAGGAACAACAAACAAAGTCAATTCAGGAACTAGTAATTACCTGCAGCAATTTCACTGAGAAAGTGACAGGAAATGATCTGTTTAACACAGTGAGGTTAAACCATAATGAAGGCTGGACTAAGAATACTCAATGAACAGCTAAACACGACAGAGAGAAATAGACATAACTGCAGACTTAGGTATAGAGAATACTGCCAAATTAACTCAAACAAAAAGAGGACTCGCTCATTATAGGAGAACATTGTATTTTCACATAACGTGTTCTGTTGCAAAAGCCAGGCACTGTATACCTCAGCCATCTGTAAAATGAAGACAGATGGACATCCAAACTACCAAACAGTACAAAAATGTAATCACCTATTCACACCTTATAATGGCAGTTCAGGTGTAGATTCTATAGAGCAGATATTATGGATTCATTAAAGGACACCCTTGTTGCCCATTGCGGAGTCTGTCCGGCTGGCTGCTCAAGAGCACCACCATCCACCCTCTCTGAGGGGAGTGAAAAGGCCACTTGACTGGAGAAAGTGTCTGAAAAGAGGCCTTAAAAACAGTGTGTCCTACAGTACGTGAGCAAACGTGCATCACTTCTGTGAAGACAGACTTAATCCCTGTGTGTATACACAAACAAACACACAAGCTGGTGGGCAGGTGCGCGCACACACACACACACACAGAGACACAGCTCTGTCAGCAGAGGCATTATTGTGCCTTTCATTATGGAGACTGTGTTTCTGGCTTACCCTGGAGAACTCATTAAAATAGGATTTCGGTTACCCTCTACTGAACCTTTCCCAACAACAAGACGGAGGCAGCATCAGCGCTCAGTGCTCTCAGCAGCAGGAGGACTGCAAGCGGATCGATGTTGTTTTCTTCTAAACGGACGAAAAAGGTGTTTAGCTCGTCCAGGAGCGAAGCGTCTGTGTCTGGCTTTCCCTTTAGAATCCGTGATTGTCTGGAATCCCTGCCTAGGTCAGCATCTCGGAGTCGCCTCTTCACTGTTGACGTTGAGATTGGTGTTTTGCGGATACTATTTAATGAAGCTGCCAGTTGAGGACCTGTGAGGCGTCTGTTTCTCAAACTTGACACTCTAATGTATATGTCCTCTTGCTCAGTTGTGCACTGGGGCCTCCCATTCCTCTTTCTATTCTGGTTAGAGCCAGTTGGCGCTGTTCTGTGAAGGGAGTAGTACACAGCGTTGTACGAGATCTTGAGTTTCTTGGCAATTTCTCGCATGGAATAGCCTTCATTTCTCAGAACAAGAACAGACTGACGAGTTTCAGAAGAAAGTTCTTTGTTTCTGGCCATTTTGATCCTGTAATCGAACCCACAATTGCTGATGCTCCAGATACTCAACTAGTCTCAAGAAGGCCAGTTTTCAACTCTGCTAACATAATTGCAAAAGGGTTTTCTAATGATCAATTAGCCTTTTAAAATGATAAACTTGGATTAGCAAACACAACGTGCCATTGGAACACAGGACTGATGGTTGCTGATAATGGGCCTCTGTACGCCTATGTACAGTGGGGGAAGGTAGCTTAGTGGGTAAGAGCGTTGTGCCAGTAACCGAAAGGTCGCTGGTTCTAATCCCCGAGCCGACTAGGTGAAAAATCTGTCGATGTGCCCTTAAGCAAGGCACTTAACCCTAATTGCTCATGTAAGTCGCTCTGGATAAGAGCGTCTGCTAAATGACTAAAATGTAAAATGAAAAAAGTATTTAGTCAGCCACCAATTGTGCAAGTTCTCCCACTTAAAAAGATGAGAGAGGCCTGTAATTTTCATCATAGGTACACGTCAACTATGACAGACAAATTGAGAAGAAAAAAATCCAGAAAATCACATTGTAGGATTTTTAATGAATTTATTTGCAAATTATGGTGGAAAATAAGTATTTGGTCACCTACAAACAAGCACGATTTCTGGCTCTCACAGACCTGTAACTTCTTCTTTAAGAGGCTCCTCTGTCCTCCACTCGTTACCTGTATTAATGGCACCTGTTTGAACTTGTTATCAGTATAAAAGACACCTGTCCACAACCTCAAACAGTCACACTCCAAACTCCACTATGGCCAAGACCAAAGAGCTGTCAAAGGACACCAGAAACAAAATTGTAGACCTGCACCAGGCTGGGAAGACTGAATCTGCAATAGGTAAGCAGCTTGGTTTGAAGAAATCAACTGTGGGAGCAATTATTAGGAAATGGAAGACATACAAGATCACTGATAATCTCCCTCGATCTGGGGCTCCACGCAAGATCTCACCCCGTGGGGTCAAAATGATCACAAGAACGGTGAGCAAAAATCCCAGAACCACACGGGGGGACCTAGTAAATGGCCTGCAGAGAGCTGGGACCAAAGTAACAAAGCCTACCATGAGTAACACACTACGCCGCCAGGGACTCAAATCCTGCAGTGCCAGACGTGTCCCCCTGCTTAAGCCAGTACATGTCCAGGCCCGTCTGAAGTTTGCTAGAGTGCATTTGGATGATCCAGAAGAGGATTGGGAGAATGTCATATGGTCAGATGAAACCAAAATATAACTTTTTTGTAAAAACTCAACTCGTCGTGTTTGGAGGACAAAGAATGCTGAGTTGCATCCAAAGAACACCATACCTACTGTGAAGCATGGGGGTGGAAACATCATGCTTTGGGGCTGTTTCTCTGCAAAGGGACCAGGACGACTGATCCGTGTAAAGGAAAGAATGAATGGGGCCATGTATCGTGAGATTTTGAGTGAAAACCTCCTTCCATCAGCAAGGGCATTGAAGATGAAACGTGGCTGGGTCTTTCAGCATGACAATGATCCCAAACACACCGCTCAGGCAACGAAGGAGTTGCTTTGTAAGAAGCATTTCAAGGTCCTGGAGTGGCCTAGCCAGTCTCCAGATCTCAACCCCATAGAAAATCTTTGGAGGGAGTTGAAAGTCCGTGTTGCCCAGCGACAGCCCCAAAACATCACTGCTCTAGAGGAGATCTGCATGGAGGAATGGGCCAAAATACCAGCAACAGTGTGTGAAAACCTTGTGAAGACTTACAGAAAACGTTTGACCTGTGTCATTGCCAACAAAGGGTATATAACAAAGTATTGAGAAACTTTTGTTATTGACCAAATACTTATTTTCCACCATAATTTGCAAATAAATTCATTAAAAATCCTACAATGTGATTTTCTGGAGAAAAAAAATCTCATTTTGTCTGTCATAGTTGACGTGTACCTATGATGAAAATTACAGGCCTCTCTCATCTTTTTAAGTGGGAGAACATGCACAATTGGTGGCTGACTAAATACTTTTTTGTAGATATTCCATTAAAAATCAGCCGTTTCCAGCTACAATAGCCATTTACAACTTTAACAATGTCTACACTGTATTTCTGATCAATTTGATGTTATTTTAATGGACAAAAAAATTGCTTTTCTTTCGAAAACAAGGACATTTCTAAGTGACCCCAAACTTTTGAACGGTAGTGTACGTCTCGTGTCTGAGCCGTTGAATGGTGACTCCACTTTGTCCCTGTACTGTGGTTTTGCCTCTTTGATTGCCGTACAGAGGTCGTAGCTGGTCTGCACTTCCATGTTCCCAGTCACCTTGCCATGGTTAAATGCGGTGAATCGCAATTTCAGTTTTGCACGAATGCTGCCATCTATCCACGGTTTTTGGTTTTGATAAATTCTAATCGCCACAGTGGGAACAACATCCTCTATGCAATTCCTGATAAACCCAGTTACGAGTCAGTGTATAGATGGGCTAGCTGACAACGTCACAAAAACGTTGCGCACTTTCAATTGGGCAAAAGTCAGTGAGTTGTTGTGATTCTGGATGCCAGATAGCTAGCAACAATGACAAGAAACTGCCATGTGGTGAATCGTAAGTTACTTGTTTCAGCTAGTTTCATCTTGTTTTGAGGTGTTTTGACTGATTTCATGTCAATGCTAATATGGCAAAAATTCGCTCGCTCGCTAACCAACAACTGTAACTATGTATTTGAGACAACAAGTACTCATTGTACAAATGTCTTTATGTTTTCAATAAACATTGGAGACGAAATAGATACTTAACAAAAATAGAAACACAACATGCAACAATTCCAAAGATTTTACTGAGTTAAAGTTCATGTAAGGAAAGCAGTCAATTGAAATAAATACATTAGGCCCTAATCTATGGATTTCACATGACTGGGAATACAGATATGCATCTGTTAGACACCTTTAAAAAAGGTAGGGGCGTGGATCAGAAAACCAGTCAGTGTGACCACCATTTGCGTCATGCAGCGCAACACATCTCCTTCGCATTGATTGTGGCCTGTGGAATGTTGACCCACTCCTCTACAATGGCTGTGCGAAGTTGCTGGATATTGGCGGGAATTGAAACACGCTGTCATACACATCCATCCAGAGCATCCCAAACATGCTCAATTGGTGACATGTCTGGTGAGTATGCAGGCCATGGAAGAACTGGGACATTTTCAGCATCCAGGAATTGTGTACAGATCCTTGCGACATGGGGCTTTGCATTATCATGCTGAAACATGAGGTGATGGCGGCAGATGAATGGCACGACAATGGGCCTCAGGATCTTGTCACGGTATTTCTGTGCATTAGAATTGCCATCGATGCCTGCCCATACCATAATCCCACTGCCACCATGGGGCACTATGTTCACACCGTTCACATCAGCAAACCGCTCGCCCCACATGACGCCATACGCCATCTGCCTGGTACAGTTGAAACAAGGATTCATCCGTGAAGAGGACACTTTTCCAGCGTGCCAGTAGCCATCGAAGGTGAGCATTTGCCCACTAAAGTCAGTTACGACGCCTAACTGCAGTCAGGTCAAGACCCTGGTGTGGACGACGAGCATGCAGATGAGCTTCCCTGAGACAGTGTCTGACAGTTTGTGCAGAAATTCTTCGGTTGTGCAAATGCACAGTTTCATCAGCTGTCAGGGTGGCTGGTCTCAGATGATCCCGCAGGTGAAGAAGCCAGATGTGGAGGTCCTAGGCTGGCGTGGTTACACGTGGCCTGCGGTTGTGAGGCCGGTAGGACGTACTGCCAAATTCTTTAAAAACAACGTTGATGGTGGCTTATGGTAAAGAAATTAAACATTTGATTATC